GAGAAGAAAAGGTGAACGCTACCATGAGTCCTGTGACGTGCCAACAGTGAAGCATCCTGAGACCATCCATGTGTGGGTTGCTTTTCAACCAGGGGAGAGGGCACTCTCATAATTCTGCCCAAAAACACTGCCATGAATAAAAAATGGTATCAAAACGTTCGGCAAGAGTGACTTCTTCCAACAATCCATGAGCAATTTGGTGATGATACGTGCATTTTCATGAAGAACAAGGGTCAACACTGTAAATATTGGCTCATTATATTTTTTGCCAATAAAAGCCTTTAAAACGTATGATATGCTTATCATTGTTTTTCAGTATACCATAGAAACATGTGGAAAAATAATCTACAAATACTGAAGCAGCAAACTTTGCAAAACACATTTATGTTACTGCCAAAACTTTTGGCCATGACTGTAGATGCCATTTTTAAACTCTGAATCTTCAGAAACTTATATTACAAGCTTACATTTGTAAATTATTACAATCTCTGGGGAGTTAAAATTTTTTTACTGCAATTTTATGTAGTGTCCTACATAATTTGTATTTTGTAAGAAGCATGCGTTTGAGGAATCATGATCAACTGAACTGGGCATTAATGTAAGACATGTCAATTTTAATAATGTCAACAATTGCCAGCTCTTACAAATGCTTGTCTACAGGGATATATGGCTGCAAAACAAACAGTACACTCCATAAATGTTAAAATGCAAGACTGTAAGCATGACCAAAAAACAAAGTGTTGAGTTGAGAAGTGTCAAATATGACCTTTCATTAGTATATACGCTGCTCAAAAAAATTAAGGGAACACTTAAATTACACACTGGATCTCGATGAATGAAATACTGAAGTTGAAAATCTTTCCTAATTCGTTTAGAACAAATGTATGTGACAATGGTCAATGGAAACCAAACTCATTAACCCACTAAGGGCTAGATTAAAAAAAAAAATCACACAGAAACGTGCATGAATTTCATCAAAGCTGTATTAAAAGCAGAAGGTCTTTCAACCAAGTACTATATGAGGGTTGTGGGTTGTAAAATAGTTTATATTCCTAGAGTTTTATAAATGGTGTATGCTAATTCTGACATTTAGGATGAAACCTTGTATACGAGGTCCCTCATTCCAAACACAGAGAGCATTAGAAAAGTAAGAATTTCGGAATCTGTACTTGCATTTTACCTGGTTGGAATATCTTGTAGTAAGGGCTGTAAGCCACATTCAGGCCTCCAAGTTTGACAGCTACTTCATAGCGTCCAGCCTTACGCACAGTGAAGGCCACTTTGACTACATTAGACTCGGGCTCCTGAAGGACCTCCTGGGTCACAGGGACTTCTAAAGCCAGCTCTATGTGAGTGATGTTCACCCTCAATCCCACAGGTCTGTGTGCAGGAAAAGGCTGGCCATTTTTGTAAAAGAGCTGGGAGGGGGATTTCAAAACAACTAATAAATACATAAAACTGTAGTCATTTTAACTGAGTCAGTACAGACTATACAACATGAAAAAAACTTTTTGAGAAAAACTTGTGATTGGTCACCTGCACTCGGAAACTCATGGTTTGACCCACTTCCTGTGGCTCTTTCCAGTCCCAGGAGACCTTGCATGAGCGTGGGTCCAAATAATTACCCCGCACATAGTCATAGATACTGCGGTCCCCATGTCGGGCAGGGTCATCATTCTGTAAGAAGCTGACCACACGAGCAGCAAGCTCACACAGAAATTTGATGGTAAAGACGAATGCGATGATGGAAACAGTTATTCCACCTAAAGAGAGTATATGAGTCTTAAAATACTGACAATTAATAAACGTAAAAGATAACATGTTTAGGGACCAATTCTCACCATTAATTAGTTGCTTTTTAGCATGCATATTACTAGCATATTGGTTGTTATAAAGCACTTATTAATGCCTTATTTTGCATTACCATAATTTAGAGATCCCTTAATCCTACCCCACTTAACAACTACCTTACTAATTATTAATAAGGAACAAATTTAATAGTTTACTGAGGAAAAGTCATAGTTAAGAGTTAGCTCATAGTGAGAACTGGTCCCCAAACTATAGGTATTTTCCCAGACAATCCAAGAAAATGAAACATATAACATAAAAAGAAATGTTAGTACAAATGTAATCATGTAATCAGAGCAAAAGTGTTTAACTAACTGAAATCTGTATCGTTTACTCTAAAATGGTATGATTGTATTTCTTTTGTAGAACACATAAGGATTTTTTTTTTATGAGTGCTTACTTCTCTCTTTTCCATACAGCAAAATAATACAATGACCAGAGGTTGTGAAACTCCAAAAAGGTGTGTGTGGGTGTGTGTGTGTGTGTGTGTGTGTGTTTGTGTGTGTGTGTGTGTGTGTGTGTGAGAATGAATATGAAATGTATAAACAATGAAATAACTTCAATTGATGGTTAACAAGGAATATCTGATATTTCAGAGATGAGTACTACTAAACCTGTAGCTAACAGAAAGTACTAAGGTGCTTTTCAACCATTAAATGTTGCACAGGATCACTGCATCTCAGACCAAAACAAACATGCCAACGTGTAAAAACACAATATATAATGAAATTTAGATACCTTTGGCTTTTGTAAACAATATCAAGTGATGTGGTAAGCATTATGGTAATACAGAAACATGGCATGTGGAAGTTGGCCTTCAGCAAAAAGCGTTGTACTGCACATCTTGTTTTTACAGAGCAGTGTGGGAGTTCGCTCTCGTAGCCTCCTATAAATGCGGGGAGGGCCAACACTTTCAAAGGGAGGGATACAATAACAAACACGAAACAACGAAAAACTAAACAGAAAAGCTTGGATTACAACACAGAGACGTTAGATTTCACTCTCTGCTAAGAATGCCATTACGACACTATATCTTTATTAGGGTTGCCCCCGACTAAAGATTTTTCTGGTCGACTAGTAGTCGTTCATTTAAAGCATTAGTTGACTAATCGCACGTTTCCATCATGTAAGCCAAAGTAACAGCGTTTACAAGGTGTTTGGTTTCATTTCTTTGACACGTTCAATACTATGCCTGTGCATAGCCATGATTTAGCTCGTAGTCAGAGCGGCTATCTGTAGCCCACTTATAGTCAAACCTGATTCACTGTAGTTTTTGGCCAGGCAGCGCATGAGATGGTTGATATCCCATCATATTCGCAGTGTCAATAATATCTACAAAGACATAAGTGTCATTTAATGACATGGTCTATATGTAGCCAGGATTTAGCTCTAAATTGGACGGGCTACATGTAGTCTGCTTTTAGCCCACCTGGCGAAATCGAGGCAATCTGTGGTGTAATTTTAACGGCTTGGCTATAGCCCTATACCAGTAACCAGACCAGCGATGAGTAGGGGTGCTCCGATTGATCGGCTACCGATCACTATCGGCCAATAATCACGTTGGGATTAAGTTGAGACGTAATTTCACAAACACCACCGCACGCGCTCTCTTTCTCTCTCAAAATACGCAAATGGCTTCAAATCGCCACACATCGCGTCTGTCTATAAGCGAGCTGCACGTAAATGCAAAATTAAAATGCATTGAATAATGTGTTGTTTATATTTGTGTTTAAATATGTCTGTGAAAGATTATATTACTGTACTGTGTAAAAAAAAAAAAAGAATTGCTATGCTGAAAAAGCATTTTCAGTGACAGTGTTTGGATTTGAAATCAAAATAATGGATAAATGTTGTGTTTGTGGTAAACAGCCACGGATCAGTAGTGGACTCCTGTGTGAAAGCTGCTTCCCCTCTCACAAGAGTCACCTAAGAGGGGAATT